GACACGTTTTTGTTGTTGTCTTTTATCCATCCTTTTTTGAGATGGAGGAAGAGCAGGCATCTGTCTGCTCGAATCTGTCCAGAATCGAGACGAGGCAGTGCATTGAATCGCGTGATTGGACCGCAAACTAGTCAATTGATTAATTCAGGAAATGAAGCAGTTGCTGCTTCGGACGTCATACAGTATGTCACGTGATTTGAAGCAACCTTCGAAGCACTGGGTGTTTCTCAATGTCGAGGAAGGCTGCTCCAGAGCCACTATTTCAAGCATACTACGTCATTGAGTCCCGCCGAAGTCTATGAGAAAATGTCCCTACTTCTTACTTGATTTGTTACCTTACTAAATAATTTTCTCACAACTTTATAATAACACTTTTTAGTGGGACTGTTCCAATGTCCAGCATACTTGGAATTCTACCGAGGCTGCACATGTGTAGACTCCGCGGTCTTAAAATCCCCAAATGCTTTATATGACGCACACCTGCACACCTGTTAGCCTGTTCCACAATTCTTCTCAAGCGTCCTCGACATTGAGAAACACCCACTGCTTCTATGGAATAGGAAGTCCAGGGTTTGAAGCACGTATCGAAGCTTCAGTGTCAAACTGCCATCACTACAGCTGTATCTTGTTGAAGTGATGAATCCTTTGTATATGTGGCTGTGTTCATTGTCAGTTTGACTTCTATGTTACCTGATGTTTTCAGTCTGGCTGTAGTCGTCCCTGGTTGATTCCTTGTGTTGCTGCCCTTGTTCCTTGTGCATACCAGGTTTCTTTCTTGTTTTTTTGTGGCTACTTTGCCAATTTTCCTGTATAACCTTACTGCTCTCTCTATTTTTGTTATTTACCAGTTCATTGTTATCAGCTTTCGTTTAGTGAAGCTCCCTTTGGGTTCTTTACTTCTGCCTCCCTTTTGTTTCTGCATTTGGGTCTAACCTCCTGGTAAAAGTGTGATACTTTAAAAGACTGCATCCGATCTTATATTACAAAGTCTATGGTGAGCAGCCTGACATTAATCTAGCTCCAAGCAATGCTCTTCCTAAGTAGCCTACAGTCTCACAGAGCTTCTGGTTTAGCCAAAGAGTTTTTGTCTTTTTTAATGAATTTGTAATGAAACAGAAAATAAGTTCGATGTATGTGCTCATCTTTTCATCAGTCTGTTAGCTGACATGAGAGAAAAAGATCCAGAAAACGACCCGTTTCCTGGACCTTCACTACAGCTCCCATTAATTTGCGTATCAACTCTAGTAACATCCTGTGAATTCTTCAGCTTACCACCAGAGCATTTTGTGCACTTAAAAAAGCGCTAGCTCTTGAAGATTTATTGAGCTAGTATACTGTAGCTCACCGATGAACAGGCCCCTAATTGCTGCCTGCCTGCAGGCATTGTGTTTTGTGTGAGTGTATGTGGGTATGAGTCAGATAAAATAAACCACATGGTGTGTGTGTGTGTGTGTGTGTGTGTGTGTGTGTGTGTGTGTGTGTGTGTGTGAGGAAGCTGAACAGAACCCTCTGCTCTCATTTACTATCTCCTTGTGTGGTTTGGCAGCAGCTCTGTTGGTATGGGGGCGTGCAACGGGCAGTCTGGGCGCGAGGCAGGCCTGGCATGCTGCTTAGCCCCCTGCAAGGCTGCATGAGGGTGGGATCAGAGCAGGAGTCCGCCAGGCTCCAGACAGGTAGTCTGTGCATGTGTGACTGTGAGCAAATGTGTGTGCATGCACCATTTATTTGACCTTTGTGGTCATTATAATTGTGAGGCCCGATCCCGCCATGCTAAAAGTAACACAATAGCATGCATATCACCATGGCTAGCTTCCATACCTCCCTTCACTGTACTGGATAACAAGCTAAGCACAGCAAGGCTGAGCTGGGCCTAGTTAGCAATTGGACAGCAGACCACCCTCGGTAGATTAGGTTGCCTCTGTAAGTGTTGGTTGTTTGAGGCCAGTGGAGGATGTTACTTCCTTAATACCTGAGCAAATTGGCCTGCGTGGTTGCAGAAATGTAGTGTTGGAGTATCAGCATCCCCCATTTGAGTGTTATGTAATTACGCTTTCTCTTCCTGTTCACAGTTATGTTACCTCTGCTAAGAACTTTATGTTTTTGGTTTGATGGTTTGTGTATTTATTTGTCAGCAGGAAAAACTAAGTTTTATGAAACACAGTAGAAGTGTAGCATAGCTCAAGAAAGAAGCCATTAAATATTGGAGCAAATCCAAATCACAAGGTATGAACTTGCACATTGCGAGCATTTGTGCTGCATTCATGGTATCTCGGAATTATCTGAAACATTACTTCCCAACTTGGATGATTTGTGTCAACTCCCCCTAAAGTCTGGTATAGCAAGAAGTTGGCAGCATTTTTCCTAAACATTACAAAGCTGTAATAATCACATAGTAACTTCAGCGTGACCTAATCCATTGATTTAATTTGAAATGTCTTCATGTGACTGAAATTCTTCCAGCTCTTCTTGAAATTGCCAACATTAGATTTCTTCACTCATGGATAATAGGCAAGTCCTGTTCTTACTCTAGTAAATGGGAAGGAAGAGTTCCGATACAAGAGTTGTACAATTATTTCAAGTGTAAATCGCATAAGATCTTTTTGGGAGATGTTTTGTGACTTTTATCAGCTCAGTGAGTTTTCCCCCAGTGAGTGTGTAAAACATGCAGGTATTTATTCAAAACCTCTGTTGCTTCATCACTGGCAGCACATATCTGCCTCCTGGAATGGGCTTGCATCTCTCCCTGGGTGATGCTGGGAATGGTTAGAGGAAATTCCAGAGGAATGGAAATGGGATGTTCTCCACTTTGGATTTTAATATTCTCAGATTCTAAAGGTTAAGGTATGGGTTAGAGCCCAGGGTCTGTCACATTATAAAATCAACCATGAACAATATTTTCTACATGCTGAGCTATCTTCCATACATGAAGTTGCTGCACATATGCAAATATACTGAATGGAAGCAATAGTTGTTTTGTGAATGTGAATAATTATGTAATAATGATTGTTATAATTGATATACATGTCTTAATCAAGACATACAGTCACCTTCTTTATGGAAAATACATGATTGCAGTTATACTAAAAGCTGATTTTTTTTTATCCTGTAAAACATTTTGAGAAATAAATAGCATATAAGTGCATTCAACAATGAAGAAAGAAACTCAAAGCAAGAATCCTGCTATAGCCCCAACCAGATGTAGTGGTACTACATAAGCTTCACTTAAAGCCAAACCTTTGTAAGTGCTACAAACAGAAGAGAGAGACTTATTTATTTATTTTTAATTGGCCAAGGCGCAGACGAGACAGGTGAGTATTCAGTCTGCAACAGGAGATCTGTAGACTGTCTGCTGTCCTGATACCAATTGGGAGCTCGTTCCACCATTTAGGAGATTTTTTACGGGTTTTTGTTGAGGGGTATCTGGGTCCCACTCGCAGTGATGAGTAGCAAGCTGATTGGCCAATGCTAAGTTTAGTGCACGAGCTGGAGTGTTACAAAAGTTATCTTGATGTTTTGGCATTTGTGACCAATTATGCATACACCAATGTCATATATAAAACATACAAATAAATTGTGACATGAACGTAACTAAAGTGATATCCAGTTATCAACAACATGATTATTTCTTTTTATTGTCTGGTAGTAAACAACTGATATTAAAAACATATAGGTACAAATTAAAGCTAGCAATTTGTAGTTACTGTAATATTAACGTTTTTTGAAACTTCGGTCTTTTCAAATATATTTTCCAATAACAAAAATTCCCTTTTTTCTGCCACTCCTCTTTTTACTGATAACGCTTCTGAGGTGATTCAAATAAAGTTGTTACGTCAACAAACAGTACCAGGAAGGCTCCACATCTACTGGAAAAACGCCTCTTTTTTATATGACGATAAAGCATCACCCTTAGCAGGTCATGCTTTAACTGTTTCATTATCTTCATTTATGAACATATTTTTCTTAAGTGGAATGCCCCAAATCTATTCTTTAAATAATAATTACAAACGATTAAAAAAAGGCAAACCTCATTGTAAATGTCCAAGCCTCAGTGTAACACGAGACATAGTCATGTTGCCAAGTAGGTTTACACATACGAGGAATGTGCATTGGTGTACATGCTGCATACATTAACACAGTTAAAGAAGATAAAGAATAAGAAAAACAACAAAAAAATAAAAAATATTATAAAAAAACAATTTTACGTTAAGAAATAGAAAATTATTTACATGATATCTGGAATCATTTGCAATCATAACACTTTTACTTTCATATAGAGAACTTTATTTTGATAATAGATTACATTGGCAGTGGACAATTCCTGCAGAACAGTAGGAAGCAGCAATTTTCACATTTAATTCCACGCTTCACTCTGTTGTTGAACTGCCCTGTGTGAGAAACAGAAAGATGAGAAATGTGTTCGTCTTCAGCATTATACAGTAACTCCCTCTGTGTATTATCTCTTCTTCTATGGACAGCACAGGGGTACTTTGTTGGGACAACACACATTTAGTTATTTTTAATTAGCATAATGTTTTTAGCCAAATGTAATAAGGTAGCTTAACATAGCTTCACTGAATCCACTGAGGTCTCAAGTCCAGTAGCTACGTGGACTGTCAAAGCTCATTGGCTCCTCCAGCTCCTGTCCCTGTTGATGAACATTAACAGTTGAAGCCTCATTTCAGCATTTTGACCAACATTGATAGGTAAAAAAAATTCGGGCCAAAAAGCAAAAAGGTTCAGTACACTTTGGTACTTTTACTTTTACTCAAGTACAAGATCTGAGTATCCACCTGGTGTTTTTTCAACTCAGTCATTAAATCAAGGCCAGACTATTGGGTTCCTAGAGCTGGCCCTGCTTTGTTGCCCTTAAACCAATGATAGTGTTTGTATATGTGTGCTTTAGAGCTGCAATATATTACTGACCCTTATTTGTGGGCACAAGTTCACTGAACAGCCACAAGTGTCATTAAAAGCAAGTATTTAAAAAACGATACCAAACATTTTTGTAGCGTTGTAAATATTTATTATCCACACACTTTAGTTTATGCAGACATTTGACAAACTATATGGATGATCACAAGCATCTATAAACTACAGCATGACAAAACCCAGTCATCATCAACATTTTACATCCAGTTAATACAATTGATTTTGATTTAGGAAAAATTAGATCAAATGACTATTTTGTTGTTGCTGTTGGTGCGGGAATCAAAATTCGCAGCACAATCCGCAGGCATTGTGGAAGGAGCAGCAGTTGCAGCAAACTCTACATTTACTGTTGCGCTTCACTCTGATGTTGTACGGCATCTGTGTGAGAGAAAATAAACATGAGGTTCTGCAGCAACTTCATTCTCATTATTCTCTATTCTACATTGGAGAGCATCAAGGCACTTTGTTGGGACAACACACTTTTACTAGTTTTTTTAATAAGCTCAATGTTTCTAGCCAAGATTATTAAATGAGCTTAAAATACCTTCCATGAGTCCTCTGATGTCTCTTCATGTTCAGTAACTGGGCTTTCATTGCTCATTGGCTCCTCCAGCTCCTGCACCTGTTGATTAAGATATACAGTAGGAGCCACATTTATCATTTTGACGAAACATTGATGGCTAATAAGTAAAACGAAAATAGTCATGTTCTTACTTCAGGTCCTGGGACAGCAGAGCTCTCCTGAATACAAATAAATGTGAGCACGACGGCCACTGCAGCTGCAACACAGAATGTCTTCATGTTAAGAGCTTTGTTGTTGAACCCTTTGACTCTTACGATGTCTCTTCTTCTCCTGTCTGATAGTTGAGTATGAAACGTTGTATTTGTACTCACTGTTATCTGTCAGTCTGTTGCCTCATCATTGACGACATTTACAGGACAGCAGGGAATGGGATGCTGGGAATAAACATTTCCCAGCAATGGTCATTCACCCTTTTTTTCGGGCCAAAAAGCAATAATGTTAAAACAACATGATGTGCAGGGGATAAAGTCAGCGGACATTTATTATTTGGTAACTTCAGTCTTACCAAATGTATCTAAAAAAATCCATAGTCCCTGGACTTCTCTCATTTTCTCCTATTTACTGACAATGCTTGTGAACCGAGAGCTGGATTTTTGAAAAAACTTGTCAGCATCAACAAATGGCACCAGGAATGGCTCCACATCAACTGGAATAAACAGCTTTTTGAATACATTTTATTAAACCTTTTTCTCAGATGAAAATGAAGCTTCAGCAAGTAATATTTTAGCTGTTTCATTATATAAAAATATGAACACTTTTTTTTTCTTCTATTACTGACATCAATACAATTTAAAACTGTCTTACACTACAGTACCCCAGTTTTGCATTACACCTCAATATAAATATCTAAACCTATGTTAAGTGTAACATCTGAATAGTCATTTTAATAGAATATAGCACTTAATTATTTTTACTCATCTTAAATTAAGCTTTTATCACTTTACTACACAGCACTTATTGTGGAACACTCTCCCTATTACATCGCAGACGCACTTTACAAGCATCTTCACATCTCTTCCTTATATTTTCCTTAACAGGACATACTTTATTTTCATTATATGTTGTTGGGCTTTCATGTCTAATTCAGGGCGTTTTATAAAATCTTAACTTTACCATATCCTCCGTTTCTTTAAAAAGCTAAATCCTACACTATCCCAGCTTTAGATATCTAAATCCATTATTGTGAATATTATTGTATAATAATAATAATATGATATTGTGTCATATTAACAGAAGTATTATCAATGTAGTCATTTCACACATGAAAACGTCTATTTCTTTTTGGAATCAAAACACTTTCCACACTGTTGTAGTAAGATTCATATTTATTCTCTTAACTCTGCTGTATCATTTGTTAAGTACATTCAGAATCTTGCATAATTTCCAATCAAAATTTGCAGCACAATCAAACACAGATGTTGGGATAGCATTCATATTAATGAATAAAAAACGTTACCTGTTATATTTAAAAAAAAACATTTACTAAATGCTTTTGATTTCTTATTAAATTGCTGCATTATATTTAGTAGTGCAAAAATTGATCTCGATGTCTTGGCATTTGTTACCTATAAAGCATACACCAATGTCATATATAAAACATCAGTAGAAATGTTGGCATGAACGTAACTAAAGTGATATCCAGTTATCAGCAAAAACATCTATTATTTTTGTTTAATTGTCTGGTTGTAAAACAATCATATTGAAAACCTAAATAAGTCAATAAAGTTAGCAATGTGCAGTTAATCTTTACGTTTTCGGTAACTTCAGTCTTTTCAAATATATTTTGCAATAACTAAAATTCCCTTCTTTCTGCAATGTCATGTTTACTGATAACGCTTCTGACCTGATTCAAATAAACTCGTTATTTCAACAAACAGTAGGCCTACCAGGAAGGCTCCACATTTACTGGCAAATCAGCTTTTTTGTTGTGTTTTAAAATATCACTTTGAAGCATCACCCTCAGAAAGTTATACTTTAAAGGTTTCATTCTTTTTATTTATGAACACATTTTTTTTAAGAGAAAGGCCTCAATTTAACACGATAGATAGTCATGTTGACAGAATAATTGTCACTTTAGTCATTTCACTTTTAAATCCTGTTTAGAAATGTTTTTTAGGAAAATTATGTTTTTTGTATTATACATATGTTTATTAGATTAAAAGTTTATATTTTCCAATGTTTTAAGTAATATTAAGTTTTACATTTTTTAACTTGACATCCTGTCTTTAAGTCTATTTGAAATGTCCTACATCCGTTTTATTTAATAAAACCTCATTGTAAATATCTAAGTGTAACATTTGAATAATCATGTTAGGAATTGTCAGTTTAGTCCTTTTTACACAGCCCACTACAATGTGCAAACATTTCCTCTGGCAGAGCATTCAACAGTGTTGTTGTACATTTCATAATGTATTAATAGTTCTACTTTGAACAAAGCCGCAACATAGTGAATATAACATTGAATACAAGCATCATAGCAGTCTTGCAAAAATTAAAAATGTCCCACATCATCTCAGTTTGCAGTATCTCTTCTTTTTTCGTTTTGCATATTCATTTTATTTCCAATTTAAGTCATTGTAATACATCTACAGCTCTCATTTGAATCACAGCTGCCAACTTTAGATAAAATATATTTTAGCATATTTCATAAAATGCTAACTTAAGCTAAACTAAACAAATGGAACTGAAGCTGAAAGAAAGGGGTAACACAAAACTACAAATAGAACAAAACGGGACATGTCAAGTATTAACCCATCACTGTACCCTGTATGCAAGGGCAGGTT